TCAAACAAGCAAGCCTAGGCTCTGATACCACTGTTGGGTTTTGAGCAATCTAACACTTCCTAAGTGTGCATGCAACCCTAATAAACCTTGGATCTATGTTTGTCTAAATACATGCAAAATAATAATTTTCCAAGGTTTATAACCTATCTAACATGGCATGGGGAACATTTCAACATAAAAGAGTTAGAAGAGATTACATACCTTTTGGTGAGTTTGGTTCTAAGGAGTTTGAGGGCCAAGCACCAATAGTGTGAATGCCTCAAATGGAATCACAAACACCACAAACTCTTGGAAAACTTTGAGAGAGTATACACACCTTGTATTCGGCCACACACATGCACACACACACTAGTTCACTAGTTTCTCTTAGGCTCCATTTCATGCTCCATAAGCATGCTTATATAGTGTGCATGGTTAGGGTGAAACCCTAATAACCCATGTCTTTTCCTTTTCCAAGGATCCATGGGTTAAAAGCTCCATGGATCATCCATGGACTTCCACATAAGCCTAGCCCATTAACAAATGAGTATTAGCCCACACTATATAAAAACAAATAGCCCATAATTTAATTAGTATTCCTTTTAATCTCTAAATTAATTCATAATTAATTTAAGACTAAAACTAATTAAATAACGTAACTTCATATTAATATATTATAACTCATAATATATTAATAAACATATGTGTATAACTCTCATAAAATTATCCATAATAGTTTGGATGAGATGCAACCCAAATGGACCATGCCGGTCGGGTCAAGTATATACCAAATAAGTTATGGACTTAGACACCTTATCCAACACATGATACCACCATTAATAATCCTTCCTTGAACATTTGCATTGGGTTTATCCTATAGTTGAAATCATCAAAAGTTAGGAAGTTCCATTTGTATAATATCAAATTATCAATAAGTTTGAATTGCCAAGGTAGAAAAAAAGTAAAGCTTTACCATAACTCTAAATGTTAAGAAAGTCATAACAACCGAAATGTTTTTACTACTACGTACACCAGTCGCAACATGTAAGGCCAATGTAATCCCTTGTCTCCATAACCAACCATAATCAATAATATCCTCACCAACAAATATGTAAAATAACATTACTATCAGGAAGGAAGTCGGGAATCATAAGTAAATAACTCAATTATACTCCATGCTAAATAATTCATCATAAAAACAATAAAAACACATCAATGTCTATCTCTTAATAGGGCATCTTTTACTACACATAAAAAGAGAAAGAATATATATATATATATATATATATATATATATATATATATATATATATTACTGTTTATAAAGAAATATTTAGATAGAAATGGAATATAAATGTATGGACCTACCCCATGCTCGATCATTCTTTTCTTATACATCGATTGGCTAGATGTTTTTATGGTCAAAATTTGAAATAACCCTAAATGTCCCTTTTCGTGTTTGACCTAGAGAAGGCAAGAGATGAAAAACAATTTCGAGATTATGGAAGGTGACAACGATGTTGGAGCAACAGGTGGCGTAAATAGTGCACATCATCGACATCGATGTTAACTGTTGTAGGTGGTGAGAAATGAAAATAGTAAAGGCGAGAGGGAGACATGCGTTTATTTTTTCCCTCTTTCTAATTCCTTTATATTTCACCTTATTTGATTGATCGATTCTTTCACCAAAACCCTTGTTTCGTGAGAGATACATGGAAAGAAGAAGGAATTGAAAACTAATGTCGAAGCTTGAAACACAACAAGAAGAAAATAGTTCAAAAACGAATTTTTATCTTTTTTCAGGATGACCTCATTTGAGAAGCTCGGTCAATTTTTGGTGCTTGCATGTTATTGTAGAGCATAGAACATAGATTGAGAGAAGAGAACCATACATGGGAGAGGGAAGAGATGTAACATCATGATTTTTCACCCAAAATTTTCTTTTTATTTCAATCACATTTTAACTAGAATACTACGTTAGTGGAAGTATTACATTAATAATTACAAAAACATGACTAATGTTACTTTATTTTCAAAAGCAATCTCCTCCAAAATTGTAGTTCACAAAACAAACATCAAAACAAGTTGTCAAAACCAAATATAAATGAAATCTCACAGACTAGTCCAAAGTGGTATCGTCACTATAGTAATACTAAATGTAACTACTCAGAAATCCATATGCTCACCAAGTCATCAAATCATGCTACATGTACGAATACAAGTCAAAAGAAACAAGCAAAGAAAGAAGTGCATCATATACTAAGTGAGTCAATGATAAGTATGGTGTTATGAAACATATATATATCCCAAAATAGGTAAACAAATCATTATACAATCATGCATTCAAATATGTAGATGGCATGCCATCATGTACATCATATAATCATCACAATGATACTTAAATATTATTCACCTTTAGAGTCTCCATAATTAATTACACTTCGTTATTTATCATTGTAATGCTTTCTCATTATCTTCATCATATTACAATTATAAGATGATATTAATCTTCATTTTCGTCATTTATAATTATTATACTCCAATCACCTTTGTAATTATTCATCATTTTACTTCCATATTACGAAGTCTATATGTTTGTCAGTAAACGTAAGGTAGATATCTTATTCACTACTAACATGACCGACACGTCCAATGCACCAACTGAGGTGTGACTCTCACCTGTTACATTGCTCCCTATTTGTTGTGTTCACTACTTCGACAAGGCATATACTGGTACATGCGTTTTCATTAAGGATTGGTATGAGCGGTGCCAATTACATCATATTCTAACTTTAAAATCTCAACTGATGTTTGCGTCGACGCCCATCAATCGTCAACAATACTCCAGTCCTGGTAACCATGGACCATACCCCGAGAGGTTATCTAGAAAAACCACTCGACATCTTTTTGGCTTAAGCTCTGATCCTATAGATATTTTTCAAGATACAAATATCTATGTCTAGGTTTCTACACTTTCCCCTCAACATGTATTCCTTTTTTTAATTAATAATTACTATTTCATCACATAAAGAAATTCCACAAAAACCTTCCAAAGCAATCATGCTCATTTATTTTTATTATTACAAGCATATTACTTCCCAAGTTACTCTTTATGTTAACATGAAAACTATTACTTCCCAAGTTACTCTTTATGTAAACATGAAAACTAGTTACTACAAGTTAAGCCATTTTACATCAACATACAATAGCATGTGCATTTCATCATATCATAATTATAACATATCATAACTCTAGCATGCTTGTCCTAATCATCATAGACAAATAATTTCAAAAAATCACAACATGCTTTCATCACACACAATCAATACAAACCCTCTTTCTAACATGAACCTATCACACTTTGTCACTTCAAATACCATATTATGAAGTCTACCATGCAACACATCCTAAACTTCAAATAATAGATAAATACTAACATTCACAACATACAAATCAATCTTACGCAAGACACATTCATCTTACAACATTCTAGGTTTATTTCAACCTATCTAGGATATGAAACTTCCTAACAAAAAACTCATATTCTCACAAGGATTAACTCACATCTTGTCCAAGAATGTGTGGGATTATGAATAGAGGACAAACACCTTCAAGTAAGCACTAATTAGCGTAGAACATCACACAAAAACCTGATTAGAAACGGGACATAAAACAAAAAACAGTCTTGTTCCAGACCGAAAGTGTGCCACAACCAGTACATTAGATCGCAATTCAAAAACGATCAACTCCCTTCATCGAGTCGTGTTGGCTTGCATGCTGCATCGTGGTGAAGCTCTAGTTACAAATGAAAATTCCGAGAACCAAACCTTTCTAGATCGATTTGGGTCCGGTCAAAGCCTCTCTTGGATTAGTTTTAATGCTCAAGACCTCTCAAATACTTTCATCCTAATTGCAACACTAGTGGGACCGATCAACACCCCTAAACCATGGATTTTTTTCCATCATCCAAGGTTTATTAAAGAGTGCAACTTAGAAGGACAAAAATAGATTCAAAGGAAACAATTTATACCTTCTATGAAACTGAGAAACTTCAAAGATTGGATAGTAAGGAAGCATTCCAAAAATCAACCAAAAAGGGTAGGATCTTCTTCACAACTCCCCAATATGGAAGCTCTTCAAGAACTCCCTCAAGAACTCTCTCTAGAAACAACTTGTGGCTACAAATGGAATGTATTCTCGAATTTTAGGGTTAGGTATCCTTAAATACATCACAAGTTACAAACTAGCCCTCTTAATGTGAAATAATGACCCCATGACCCCCATACATGATCAATGATTGTTTTCTTACCTTTTTAGTGCCCATAACTTGAATCTAACCATATAAAAAAGTGATTTAACATAAACCATATCGACACTAATCTTGATTACAAGAATGGAAAATTCGGTTTGTTATAAGAGAGACTAGAAGGGACAATGCGGGTTGGAGGAGATGGATATGGGTGATGGGCCGAGACAAAAGCGTTGATGGAAGAGGAGATATAAGATGGAAAAGAAGTTATAGAAGAACAAGGCGTTTGTTACCAGGTTTTCTAAAATTGGGGGATTTTTCCCGCTAGCCACTAAGGAGGAAGATATAAAAAATTATAAAATGACAGCTAATTTGAGGAGACACCAAATATATCTTAAAACCTTCAAATTAAGAGATAATGTTATTTATAGCATCCACGTTTGCGTGTCATAAATTTAATGCCTGGCATAGTTCGTATTTCATTAAAGGCCTTTATTGTAGTATTGCGTCTTACATGTTTACAAACTTTTTTATTTGAAAAGTATGTTAAAAGTATTTATATTAATACACATATTTCATATTTGGGAATGAAGGCTAGGAGATGCAAATACAAAACTTGATTACAAAATTTATCACTGATATTTTTTCCTATATACGTATAAACTATGTTACATATATTCTTAAAATATATCACACATAGAAATCTAAAACAAATGCCGTACCACCAAATGAATAATTGTTTGTTTCCTTCCCTACAATAATATAATATGACCTACCGTCCTGTTGATTTCTGCATCTCGGAGAAAACTGTCTCTGACTTGAACCCTTCGAAGCTGCTGCTAATCGACGATGTACCATTTCTTATTGCACTTGATCCCGAAAACACTTCATCGTCGGTTGTAGTTGGCTCAACATGCATTAAAAACGGAAGTTCTTGATTATCCGACACCACATCGCCACCTCTTTTCGCAGCACTTTCTTGTAACTGCAATGCAAACTCCAGATCCCAGACAACTTCTTCCATGGTTGGTCGCTCGCTTCTTTGCTCTTTCAAGCAGTTAAGTGCTACCTCCCCAAACTTCCTCAAGCACTCCGGCGCAATCTCACCCTTCACTTTCGGATCAACTATCTGTTCCAGCGTCGCCTTATTCCGGTAACATAATTTCGCCCATTCCGCCAAGCTCACTTGTTCTCTAGGAAGCGATGGAATCATTACAGGTCTAGCACACAATACTTCAAGAAGAACAACCCCAAACGAGTACACGTCGGATTTATCTGTTAGATGCTGGGTTCGATAGTATTCAGGATCCACATACCCGATGCTACCTTTCACCACTGTGCTAACGTGGTTTTGTTCTTGATGATCTCTAGGTCCTAGCTTCGACAACCCGAAATCCGACACCTTTGCGACCCAGTTTTCATCGAGTAAAATGTTTGTCGACTTCACATCCCGATGAATAATCGAACGATTTGCTCCTGTGTGAAGATAATGCAAACCTTTGGCTGCTCCAATGCAAATATTGAGACGTGTTTCCCATGACAAATGTGACTTTTTTGTTTTGTAAAGATGTTCCCGAAGAGTCCCATGAGCCATGTAATCATACACCAGTATCATCTCTCCTTCATCATCACAGTATCCGATCAGGGAGACTAGTTGCACATGACGTAATTTTGACAGCATCCCGATTTCTGTACGGAATTCATGTAAACCTTGGCTTGATGATTGGTTTAGTCGTTTGATTGCTACGGTGGTTGTAGTATTGTCCAAGTACCCTTTATAAACCTTACCAAACCCTCCGTTTCCGATGATGTAACTGTCGTCAAATTCATTTGTAGCTACCTTTAATTCCGTAAGTGAAAAACGACGACAACGATCTGATGGAAGCGTTGAATGGCTAGACTTTGTAGATTTTGATTCACTATGATCAGCTGGGCCCCACGATGACTTGTCGTCGGCGGTAGCATAGTGTTTCACTCGCCTGCGTTGGAGTAAAACTATAAGAACTAATACAGTCAACACGACTAACCCTCCCACAACACCTCCAATTATCACGGCATATGGGGTATTCTTCTTGTTCCTTGTTCCGCCGAATGTCGACGACGCCGGTGGTGGTGGGGTTGTAGAACTAGGTTCTGGGTTGGGGGCAGAAAGATTACCCATCATGTCCAGCTTAAAGACTTCCAAACCATTTAGAAAAAAGTCACGATATTCTTGAGATTGTTCATTAGGATGCATTGCGAGCCATAAATCTGGTTTGCTTTCCTCACGATCTTGGCTGTTGGCATACACAACGTAATCCTTGAAAACAGCATACCCGCTACCTGGAGTCCAGTAGAATAGATCGGCTTCATCCTCAGCCGTTTGATTATTAATGAAGATTTGAAAAATCACCTGTCCTTTATACGTGTATTGTGGTATAATACTGCAAAAATGGAGCCTGAGCATGTACCAAAACCCAGAATCAACGGGAAGTCTCCACGTCATGGTGACGTCGGCGGTGATATTGCTCCTGCTCCTTTGGGTTTGATAGACTATCTCAGGTGCGGTATAGTTTGGTGTCTCCGTGGTGTACGTAATCGGAATTTCAGTCTTAGGTGTAAACCCAAGCGCTGATGAGGGGTATAGGTAATGATCATCTGCATCCCATGATCGATACATACCGGTATCATCATTTGCAGAAATTTGTGCCCCACCGACGTTTAGCCGGTAAATATTTTCAAGAGCTGTCTGGTCATGAATACCAGGTGCTGAATTTGTACCCACGGATTTGAAGTTGTTACCTATGTAATAAAGATTTTCCGGCATAGAAACAATTTCAATACCGTTGATGAAAGCAAACGATTTGGGTGATGGGGTAAATGTAACGTTGAGGCTCTGGCTATCTTTGACATGGATGATAAATTCTTTGATAAAGCTGGAAACTTTGGGACCTGATTTGGAGAGAAAGGAGGCGGTTAGGGAAGCGCTGAAGTTGGTCAAAAGAGAGTAACCGTTGGATGTAACGGAGAAGAAAGATTCGTCGGCGTTGAGGTCGGAGTAGATCGCGGGGTAGAAATAGAGGCGGAGAAATTTTGGGCCTTGGGACACCGGAAACCTGTAGGTGAATGAAGATCTGTTGAAGATACGAGCAGTGGTGTAAGGGATTTGATAGACTGAAGGATCTTGGAAGGAAGGTGTGTATGAAAAGGAGGTGGCGGCGGTGTTGGAGTGTATGAATTTAGAATCCTCATCGCCATCCCATCTCCGGCCGGAAGTTACGGCGGTGGTGGAAGATGAACCGCAGTCGAGGAGGAAGTTATCGGTGGCTTTGTATGGTTGTGCGGCGGTGATGGTGGTGGAGAATAGGAGAAAGAAAGAAAAGAGTTGTAAACAGAAGCGAAACATGATAGAATTATTGGTGATTTAAAAAAATTGATAGTGGTGTTTTATAAATCATCACGAGTGGATACACAGTGAGAATTGTCAGCGTCTTTCAAGAATCAAAAGTTGACCTGGCAAGTCTTTTCGGTCTTCCTCAATTGTCAGTACTTGCAAATAATTCTAGGGGTGAACGATACGTCGGGCATTAGGAGTTATACCATAGAAAGTGACATGTTAATATACTATTTTGGTGTGGAAAAATCATTTAATTGAGATGCTTTTAATTGTAACAGGTACATGAACAAAAATCCATTTGAATGAGTCAATTATGCAAAATGAATATTAACTTTGATAAGCCATTATGTGGCTACGAAATGAAGATATCTCCACCACTCATTAACGGGCCTATCTTATAGAAAAAGTGGATCAGGGATAGCCAAGTTAGAAAGTTCCTATTGCTTTAGTGTAAGTTTGTCAAGATCATAATCTTACATATGATCGTTTTATGTTTTGTAAGATCAATAATCGCAAGACCAAATCCGGATCCTAAGATTCTACTAAAATGAACTCAAATGCAAATTTCATTATAAGGTACTGAGTGTTTCAAAATCTCACATATGATCATTTTATGTTTTGTAAGATCATATGATCGTAAGATCAAATCCGGATCCTAAGATCCTATTAAAATGAACTCATATTCAAATTCCATTATAAGGTACTGAGTGTGCAATATATATTATAGATTGACTAGCAGTTTACCCACATCAAACGACGGATATAAATAGTTTTTTTGAAAATTAATTTGTTGAGGAGATTAAATTTTTTTGAGCAAATAAAAGTAAACTTAAAAGTTAATTTACATGTTTTATAATAATAAAAAGATTAAATTATAATTTAACTTATAGTTTGGTGTTTTATATTGTTGATAGTGTAGACATCTTCAAAACATTTTAGGACTATTAATTCTGATCATATAATTTACCAACAAATCCAAGGTTCAGTTTTCAAGTTTATCCCGAGACTATGCCCATAAGTAGAGGTGTTCAAAATCGGATACCCGAAATTTTCGGATAGTAAATTTCGATATCCGAATTGTAGTATGATGCTTGCTAGTGTTGTCTTTTGCCTCTTCATTTTTTGATTAGTTGATAGTATGACATGTCAACATATTATGTTTGAGGGGTTGATAACGGATCGGAACAAGAGCTGGGAGCCTAGAATACTCGTGCTTATGACTGGACGTGCACTATAGCCGTTAGCCATCATTCATGACTAGACATGCATTAGTGTCGTTATCCGTCGTTGATAAGTAGACGTGTACTAGAGTCGTTTTTCATTGTTTATTAGGTGGATCAATTTTAGAGTTGAGAGACTTTGTATTTATGCATTGTGGGATTAAAAACCCTGTGTCACGACCCGAAAATCATATCATTGATGATGTTAGCTTTCCATTATATATATATATATATATATGATTTCAGCTTTATGAGGCTAAAATAGAATAAAGTAATTAAAATGATATTATTTAATATATAAAAAAAAAAAAAAAAACAAACCAGTAAATAAGAAGGATATAATTCTGAAAGTCCCAAACCCTTTGTAGATTTGTAGACCAAATATAAATACAAAAGAACATATTGTAAAGAACATAAGATATTCTCCAAATTGTGTTTCACCAAGAAAGGGTTTGTTTTCAACAAGAAAATGGGTTGTTATAAAGACGATCACCAGACATTCACAACATTAGTGTTTCACCCTAATGTGGTATATATCCTAAACTATACTAGTGAATCCCTTTAGTCAAGGGATCGTATCTAATCTACATATAAACAAATCTGGTATAAAAGAAATGTATCAAATTAGATCTTCTCCAAATTCGGATATCAGCACCAACATATCAGCTGATGATCAGAGCATCAACATCAACGTCTAGGGACCATCTTTAGCTTCAATCATCAGCGTCATGGTCAAGCTGATCAGCTTCAACTTCAATAGATAGAGAATGACCATTATTGAGTATCATCCGCATATCATATGATCAATGTTTCATCAGTGTATAACCATCATCATCTGGACACACTGATCAGTCTTCAATAAATGGTGTTTTCATGCATTTTGTGTTGATAGATTCTTTAGGGTCTTTCAGTCATCATGGGATGTTATTTAGTCTTCGACATATAAACTTCCATCAACCTATCTTCAGATTAACTAACTAAACTAGCTCTGACAAATCAGCTTGTCTAAGTTATGCAATTTACACTTACTTATACAAGATTGACTATCTATAATGAGTATATAAACTATAACTATGAAGTATATATTTTGAATCATCAAATCTATACAAATAAGTAACCCAACAAATTCAACTACATTGATTTATGGAATTATTAGGGTGAAAATAATTCACTTACTTGTTATAAATTGTGTCGAGGGGTCAAACTGTCATGAAAAGGAACTTTAATTGTGAAGGTATATGAGGTTGGGGAAGAGGGGATGTAAAGTTGAACGTCTAAGGACTAATTCATAAAATTCATCCATAACTCCCATCAATCAATAGAAGTGATCGATTCTCCTAAGTTGGTGTTTCTTGTTTTGCGACTGATCTTTTGAGCAAGGTTCACAAGGTAACGCATGATTGATCATTGGTTGTTTCCCTTTAGTTGCGTCGAATAGTAAGAAAGAAAAAAGAAAAAAATATGTGTGTGTATGTATGAGGAGGGAGGGAAGAACATGAAACAGAAGGAATTAAAGGTGGGAAGAGTAGTGCCAGGAGGAAGAAAGTAATGAGAAAAACGGAATCCTCTAGTCCATTGACTTCAAGGTAATGATTTCGAATTCATTCCTTATGTACTCACATGAGCATGGAGTCCAATGGTTCTTATGATTATTCTTTTTTTGAAATGAAATCAAACACGTTAGTCTCATTCTTTATGGTAGTAATTGTTTTCAGTTTGCAGATCTTCTTGGCCTCTTCTATCTGTACATTGCAGACCATGCCTTGACATTAGCCTTTACAGACTGTTTTTATTATTATTATTATTATTATTATTATTATTATTATTATTATTATTATTGAAGAATGCAGACCTAAAAATGTGTGTGCGCCCTCTACTTGGTTCAAACGTGGACCAGAGTGTTCTAACATCTTCAGACATCTTCTAGCCTAAACACACACACACACACACACACATATATATATATATATATATATATACATATATATATATATATATATATATATATATATACATATATATATATATATATATATGAGTTTATATTTATTCCAACTTTATTAGTAATAAACAATTTGAAAAAAAAAAACAGTTACAATACTTAAAAAAAAATTCGATGATGCAAACATGATATTATGGCAATGAACTCTATTTCTCATTATAGCAATGAACTTTGTTTCTCATTACACAAACGACCGTTTCTTACTGTAAACTTATATACATGTTTTAGCAATGAAATTGTTTGCTCCTTGTAGCAACGAACTTGATTATTTTAGCAATGAAAACTTTTTTACTCGTTTGAGTAACAAACTTTATTTCCCATGAGAATATGAACGTTGCATCTCATTTGGACAACGCACTTTTATCTCTTACACGCTTCATCGCCACCACTCCATTTCTCTCTTCATCTCTCTACACCCACAAAAATTTCTAGAAAACAAACCCAATAACACTCCTCAAACTCAAAATCTTCATCATATTGTAGTGTTCTTAAAGGTAAAATCGATTTCTACTTTACTTTTCCTTCAAGTTTTGTTATTTTCTTACACTTTCTTTTTCTTCTACTCCATTCTATTGTAAAATCATGAACACTTGCACCTACTCACGGTTTTGATGATGATGGTGGTAGGATTTCATCCAAAAACAACATGCATGTTGTAGATGGTGAAGTCCCATGACCTAAACCTAAGTCAAAATAAAAATAAATGCATTTTTCTACATGTTTTGGTGGAAAAACACAACATGCATCCAAAGTTTTCTTTCAAAAATGAATTTTTAACATTTAAAACTCATGAATGGTCTTCAAACCAACATGCATATGATGATCTTTAAGCTTAGACACTAGATCATCAAAGTATGTTGTTAAAAAGCTTTCAAATCGGTTTATAAAGGATTTATTCACAAATAAAGATCTAAAACAACTTTTCCGATCAAATTCAATTTTTCCCTGTATTCCACCAACAAAATGAGATGTTCTACAAATGTTCAGAAAATAATTCATTTTTCTCGAATTATTATAACTATTGCAATAAAATACAGCAACAAATCATATTAAATGCTTTCTGAGGTCTATAAATCCTAGGTAAATTCATGGATGACCCCTAAGGTAAATTATGAACTCTCATTAAGGTTCATCGTTTTTTGTTACAGTTTATTATGGTTTTGAATTTTCTTTTTGTTAGCCCCAATAAATCATAAAACCACTTTAGAGAATGTGAAAAGGGGTATTTAATAATTTTCACAGCTCCTACCATATGTTTAAGACTCGTAAAAATATTTTCAGAATTGTTCATAAGGTATTCCTATTTTTCTCTGATTTTTGTATTTATAATGGACTAAAAATAGGAAAAATAGTTCTAATCATCCAAAATTCATGAACATTTACCAAAAGACCTTATAATATATAGAACTCTATATAAAAATTTTGATGCTTTTTTGTATTTATTATGTTATTTTTCTTTTATTTTCTAAGATTAAATACACTTAAATCCACAAAATCGTATTCCAGTAGATAAAAACCACCTTAGGTATTTTCCCAAATTATTTACACTGTAAAAAAGTTTACAAAAATTTTGGTAATTTACTTTGACTGTTTAATAATTATTCTCCAATTAATGATTATTTAAGAGGATAATACAAAGAAAAATAGCAAGACTATTTGAAAAATATCGTTTGTATCTTTCACACCTTCTATATAGATAATAACAGTGTTACAAAAAGTTTGGGCAATTTTGAAAACTTTTTTCTATTTATTTTAATTTTTATTAGAATAAATATATAAAAATCATA